AACTCATGTGAAGTAGGTCTTCCCAACTTAATTTGCATGCTGGATAGACTGCCCATTGACTTATCAGAAATCCGGAACTCGGAGCCAACATCAAAGACTTTCCTTACAGAAAGCTACGGTAGGTCAGGTCTACTTTTTTGTATGTGTTGATGTCAGAGGGGGGGGGGTGCTGAAACCAAAACGTGGCCGTTGCCTGCACTAAACGCTAGCTTATAGGGCTTGGGGTGAAGGCGTGTGCGGAGTGCAGTTCATGGTGATCCTAGTTTTGCATGTCGAGCTGTGCGGCTTTCTAGCAATGTCAAATGCAACGTGCAGTTCCTGATATACCGCAAAGCCCAACTTCAGTCAGTGTGAAGCCCCACATGAGCTTGAGACGTAAGCCCACACTCAACACCGTAACCTGATCCCTTTACGCACACCTAACACACTTAAAGCCCGAAGGTAAATCCTCCACCTACAGCCCAGATCTCAACACCACAGCATATTCCCTAACCCTACAGCCTACCCTAAACCCTACGGAATCCTTGGGTCCTATATACCCCTATACAATCCCCTAATATCCTTTTATAACCCCCTAGAACCCCCTAGAACCCCTTTAAAGGGAACCTATTATTTCCGTCCTTGGACCCTTAGGGAATGCCTGCCACTAGTCCCAAGGATGAAGCCCGACTTGCTGTGCGCAACTCTACGTTACCTGGGGCCGGGCAAGGCCCGTCACGCTTAGGGTTTTAGTATGTTGGGGTTTAGGGTTTAGGGTTTAGTATATTGGGGTTAGGGTTTAGTATATTGGGGTTTAGGGTTTAGGGTTTAGTATATTGGAGTTCTAGGGGGATAGACGAAAATAAAGTGGAAACTGGCTAATAATAGGGTGTCTATTGTGGTTATAGTAGGGAATATAGTATATTTGGGAGTATGCGTGGCATATCCTTAGGTTCCAAAGTATGTAGATACATGCCCAATTGCGCCAGACGTATCTGATGTACAGGTTACTGGATCCTAAGGGCAGGTTGCAGGACTTGGCTCCCAAACGTTCATGATTTCAGGAGCTGCGGTAACCTTGACCTTTTTGAATTGTGTCGAAAAAGAGCCTGACACGCGAGTGTCTAACTCAAGCCTGTATTTTCGATTCTCGCTTGCCATCGTAATAACTGCTGCCCATGACGACTATAAGGATGACAGAGCTGTTGCCTTTACTGCTGCAGTCACTGCTATTCACATTCATGCCCTCATGTTCGCAACAGAGGAGCAGTTACAATTACCAGCGCTATCCGCGGCAAGTATTGAGATTTGTGCTGCAAGAGAACAGTTCAGAGAGCTGCAAGCCTTTCTGGCATCGTATCCCTTCGGTTTTGTTATTAAATCAGGTACAAACTTCATGTATTTCCCCATCGTATGTTTCCTGGAGGATCCAGGAATTTTCTGCATGTTCTCAAAATCCTTGCGATGCGGGTTGTGAACGCTTGCAGATGAAAGCATATGTGCCTATCATGCCGCAATTTTTTGGGAGACAGAACCCTAAACCCTAAACCCTAAGCAGCAACCCCGACGTAGGCCTCTTCGCAGCCGAAGCACTTGATGCTGGCGTGCTGCTGTGCCTCGGACCCCCTTGTGGTGCTATCTGGTTTAGGGTTTAGGGTTTCGGGTTTAGGGTTTAGGGTTTCGGGTTTAGGGTTTAGGGTTTATCTAAACTGTGGTGAAATTACCATGGTTCCAAGTATAATATACTTCATGCACCACCTCAAGTCCCTATAGTTCTATAGGAATTAAAATAGTTCAGGGCCCCTAGGTGGCGCAAGATTTCATCCATCAACAGTATTGTACCAAGATATACTATATTATAATATATATATATATATGTTTTTTTTTTTGGTCCTCATGCAACACCGCTGCTTGCTGCCGCTGAGGCCGCCTTATCAGGGGTTAACTCTGCTTTTCGCTGACCTGGATCGCTTGGAGTACTCCAGGGAGGTTGACAACTACGTTGCCCGGCAAGTAATGGGTTGAGGGTTTCCGGGCTTAGGGTTTAGGGTGTAGGGGTTTAGGGTGGGTTCGTCTGAGTTCGCGTTTGATGGGTTCTACTTGCTATCATGACCAGCCTGCTGCTGTTACTCCAACGCGCAGCGTTATCTTGTTGCAAGTTTTTTTGTGTTAGAGCCATCTATTCTGATGAAGACACTCTTCAGGTAGAACGCCCGCCCCTTGAGATGTGTGCACATCTGCGTGAGCAAAGGTCTGGTGTCCCGCAGATCAGAAACTCGGCGGCGAGCCCCTACTGCCGAGTTTCTGCATCGATGGGGCCCGTCTTGAGAGTCGGGAACTTGGAGAACAAGGTATACCTTAGCTCAACTATTGAGAAGAATCGACGATGAGAACAGGAGTTCAACTGATCGCCTATCTTCTGTGTTTCCGTGATTTCCCTCTTGTTCTATTGATGCGGTGCTGATCCCTTTGAATGCTATGCTGCAGTTATTCTTATAAGCATCATGGTGCCTCCTCACCTCCAATGATTGCCATGTGAGGGTTGTTCTGGCGGTCCTTATCTTGCATTTATACTTGGGCTGACCATTGGAGCCAAAGTTTCGAGAAACAAGACGCTAAAGGAAAACCACTTTTCCGCGAAAGTTGGCGATGTTCTGGAGAAGCAATTTTGAACAGCCGCCATGTGTTGCCAGGTGGCAACCCCGCAAGGTATGTGAATGCAGCAAGAAATGCTGGTCAATGCGCCGAGACTCGGTCAGAACCATTGGGCTCAATTGGGCATGGACTTCTTGTTGTTGCGAGCTCCTCTATAGCAGGCAGGTTATTAATTCTTTTTTGTTACATTAAGAGGTGCATATGCGCAGATATACATATATGCATACACACCTACCTCTTGGATGCAGCGCGCAGCGTTAGTTTGCAACAACATTCTGGCACAGGCTCCAGGCAACACAGGCGGCTTAAGTTTTGATACACAATGCCAAGTAAGGAAACTGCCAGAGTCATTGTTGTCAGGATTGTGGTTGTTGTGACCTCCTCCCTCAAAAAGAGGGAATGTGTCAGAAAGTCAACATGGGTTGCTCATTCGTCATACAAGTCGAGGCAGTTGAGGTCTCACTAGCCCTTTTTGGGTCTTCTTTTGTTCGCACCTGTTCAAGAACACCGCCCCCAAAATGCCTGCCGCATTTGATAGCATCATAAAATCATTCCTACAGCAGGTATTCAACCACACGAAGCCGGGATCCCACAGCCAGAAATCCTACGCTCGTGAGTTGAGGATGTGAACCTTGAAATCTGTGAGCTTGGGCGAGTCGCCTACTTTCGCACACTGCGGCCGGTTTCAGCAGGCCATCAGGGCCATCGTCGCCCAGGGACTTTTTCCAAGCTCTCTGGGATCCGACTTCTAGTTTGGTTTTAGTTGGGCTACGCAGCGAGTGTGGCGGGCCTCCTAGTCAAAGGCTAGGGTCGTTTAAGAGGCAACATATCATGTCAAAGAGTTGTTTCAAAGCCGGCCCCCCGCTAGGGGCTAAGACGCAAACCTGGGTTCAGGTGCTGAGGTTTCGATCTTGTGGTGAGCGCGCTTGAGTCTTGCTGCGAAATGTGCCAGTGCATATGGGGTCCTTGTTGATCTTAATCTCTCTTTTCTGTTTTCTGACATTAAGGTGTCGCCATAATAACTTACTAGTGCATCAATCCAACATTCGTTTTCGTGCTTGAGTTTTCGTCCAGTCCTTCTTGGAATGTGGCGACATCATCCTTCAACTCCAGTTCTATGTGTCTGCTGCATGTGCCTACTTTTCGTGTAGCCGTCAGCTCTTCTTCTAATATGCTGGTTTTTGCTCCTCCTTTTTTTTTTCTTCGCGTATTTCGTCTATGATTAGTATCTTAAAGGTTCAGTCGGTAGAGTCATGCCTGTGGACAGCGACATTGTCATTGCCTGTTGTTCTTGTTATGGCTAGTGCTAGTGCTCTGCTCACGCGAGCAGAATCTGCAGTTGCAGAAATGCAAGCGACAGCATGGAGATCAGCAATGTCCTAAAATTCCTGTGAACCCGAAAGCCTAAATGATAGTTTCCATGTTCTTTTCCATCATCCTTATATAACATAACCCTATGATATCATAGTAGTTTCCATTTTCGTTTCCATTATCAATATGAATAACCTAATATTACCCCAATATAGCCCTCATAATCCTTATATAACCCCTATAATCCCTGTAGCTTCCATTAAATTTCATTTTCCATTACCTAAATATTCTCATATCACCCTGCTTGGTCTTGTGGCGCCTGGGAGGTACAGAGCTGATTGTCGATTACGGCTCTTCCTACTGGCCAGATTTCGCCGGCTGTGAGCAAAAGGTTTGTTGCCAGCAATCTGCATTTTTTTGTGCGACTGGCTTCCAACATGGCAGGCCTTCCCCCGATCATAAAACCCATGTTCGATTCCCGCGTGCCTGGCGCATGCCAGGAAGTATGCTAGAGCATGGAATATCAATAACATGTTGCTTTTCTTGCTCCCGCCCAAGTCTTCCTGGCAGACTCGATCCAGTGTCGCTGAGATGACCCTATGCAGCATCGGCTGCTGCTGCTGCTGCAATGCACCTGCGTGAGAGCTTTCGAAGACTCAATGGCCCATTTTTCAGTGTCGCTATCCACGCATGTAGAAAGAGCGAACCCCCATTATTCGGAACGTACCGCTTTGAATCAGATGATTTTCTAGAACTACAGCTCAGCAAGCTCAGCGTTGCTCATGCAGGCGCTGCAAAAAAACCCTGCCTGAGCGGCTTTTAAGTGAGTAGTCAAGCTTCAAAGCATGCTCTGCGAGATAGAGCCATGGCCAGCTTGGATGGCTTCCTCGGCCACTTCGATATGCTCTATGATGACGACCGAAACCAAGTCTCTTGATTGCAGGATTTTAGCAGTTTCCATTTTATTTTCCATTATCTGAATATAACCCCAAAATAACCCAATATAACCCAATATGTAGACATGTCCCGCATTCACCCTGAGCTGCGATGGATAGGCTTATGCTGCAGCGATCCAACGCGCGGCGGAAGAACTCAGGTGCGCTGCATTGCAGCATGAGTGTGTGTGTGTGTGTGACCCCACAATGCCACGAATGCACCTTAAGGGGTGCAAAAGTTGAGGCTGGCATGCTGAAGTAGCGAAGCTACGTTCCAAATAGCCAGGATGTGCAGAGATTAGGGGAATGGAAAAGAGAGAGTAAACTACTACAGAATATAAGAACATGCTCAACTTTTGCCTTTGAAGGAGATCGAAGCCAACGCAAGCTCTGCGCGCACTTGACTTAGGCCATGAGACGGATTGTTGACTTCAGCCTTCAGCCATGTTATAGGTTGGGACACCTAGGGTTGAACCTCAACAGAGAAAAATCAAACTACTAAGTTATCTAGGTGCCTAAAAAACAAATAAATAATGAAATGGACAAGAACATGAAAAATGAAATGGATAATAGGTTGATTCAGAGTACATACAGGGTTTGGCAACAAGAGGGCCCAACTGCATGGATACATGCAAAGTCGCACACCACATGATCCTGCTAATTCCTCAGGGAGAGTGATAGGGGCTTCTGCCCTCAGTTTTGCTAGCCTGCTGTCCAGCAACCTTTGAAATCCTAAACTCCGACATGACATGTGGGCCAGTGTGATGTCTGTACCAAAGGGATGCTTTCGACATGATTTCGCCCAGCGTGACCCAGTGTAGTCCAACTCTAGCCCATTGGGTATGCATGATTTCCAGAAACCCTCCGATGCTTGACATTGGACTGTCACGTTCGTTTTTCTATCCTTCTTAGTCCGCATGTTTTCCACGAAAGCATGTTTACTGTACTCGTTGCTTCCAAGCCGCTGTACTAACAAGTTGCTTCGAAGGAAGTGGCTCGGGCTTGCTGGGCTTGCTCTGCTGGCAGACAGGAGCCTCGACTAAAAAGCTCGGTTGATGTTTATGATGAAGCTACTGCCACTGATATGACTTCCATCGCGACAACGGAGTAGGTTTCCAAGGGCCATGCAGGATGTGCAGTATCAAGAAGCGCGCAGCCGCTTCTGATAAGCTTACTTACGAGATTTGAATTTCAGCAGGTGACAGTATCATCGTCAGATTGCAACGCCAAGAAGCAGACCAGTAAAGGACATGATCGAGAATCGAACGCATCATACCAGCAAGCTTGTTTTCACTAGTCTATCCGCTGCATGCAGTGCCCTTACCTTCAATGTTGCGACCGCTTCCGCGCTGCTTTCTGGTGCTACCATCATGACCTGTACTGTTTGTGTAGTGGAAGGTGAAGGAGAATAACACGGTAATATGGTGAGGTTGATGCTAGTAGTAACATGTCCATTAATGTTGCATCCAGCATCCATTGTTATTCTTATCAGTATTCTCCCTTACGATCTGTACTACATACTGTGTTTGGCTGTCTTGCCACAAGCTTGTGACTACAATTGTGCAGGTATATGAAGTGGACTAGGCAAAGTACGCGGTATTCTGTGAATACCTTTCACTCACCACCACCGGCGCTTCTTCTGATGCTGCCGCTTCAGTTGCTTTGCTGCTCCTCCTCCTCCTCCTCCTCCTCCCCCTGGTGCGTTGCACACAAGAGCCCGGTAGGGAACATGGCTGGTCGCAGTCATGGCTGTTTCTTGGGGAGTGGATGCAATTTTGGTGCTGTTTCTTCCAAAGCTGCCAAGGATACTTTGAGAAGGTGGTCTTCCTGGAAGCGTGCCCCCCACTTGCCGAAGCAGCGCGCGAGAACATCAGGAGAAACGGCGCGGAAACTTGCAGGCGAACATCGCTTTGGTGCTCGATTTGCCTAACTGTAGTCCAGCCAGTAAATGCTTGAACACGTAGGAATAGGATCCCCTGATAAATGTGATCAAATTCTTGCATAGAATGACCTTAACATACCCAAAGCATTTTCTGATTTATTGGGGGCCTCCATCTGATTATGAACTAAAGTCGCTAATATGCAACTGTGAAAGTAAGCTTGTGTCAACCCAAAGAATGGACTTGGAAGAGCTGCTAAACAAGTAGCAGATGCCTTGACTGAAGTGTCGGCTTAGGTACTCCCATACCTTGTTGTGTGTCAAGGGTTTTGTGGAACTCCAATGCAAGGAGCGATGCTGTACTGTCTGGGAGGGCCACTCACCGGACATTCTCCACGACGATTCGATTACCAAGGACATAATGTGGAGCAGCTTGATGAAACCTCAGATCTTGCCCGCCTGGCACCTGAAGTGACTTGGGAGTTGTTGTGCGTGCTGTAATTTCCCCCGACCTTTGCTGCGCTGCTACTGCTGCAACAGGACATCAGCTTTGACCTATGTGTTTCCGAGCTGCTGGACGCAGCCGCTTTGCAAGACTAGCAGTACTGATTGTGGCGTGAGTCTATAGCTACGGCTGTGAATATGGGTATTCTTATGGCTGGTCGATGGCAATGGTTTCGGCATCATGCTTCCAGAAACGTGCTTCCCCTGCTGTTGGTCTGCCATGCAGAACACAGAGTTGAACTGCCTTCCGCACACCCAGCCAATGTTTGGCTAGCTGAAGCAAGTTGCCTGAAGATCAGTTGGTCAGAGAATGTAGATACGCACATCAAGTATCTACATGCATAGGCGCGAGCTTTGACATGCTCTGATGGTGTTGAGTAAGCAATTGCAAGAAAAAATCATCGCTGGCACAGCTCGGGCATGGGACCATATGTCCTCAGCACGGAGAGCAACATGGTGACTAGGCCTGATTTTTTAGCCACACCTCTTGGGACAAGGTTTGCAGTCTTGGCCGGTTTTGTGAAGGGATTTGCTATGTATTCCTTTGCAGTCCCTGCCAGTTCTGTTCTAAACCAGCTATCAGAATATGAGCTACAGTATAGTCTAAACTCCTTAAAGGGGGGTTATATAGGGGATAATATAGGGGAGTATCATAGGGCTTATTAAGGGGATACTAGGAGTTTAGACTATGGCTCATATGGATCAGGTGCTGATCGGTGAGGGCGTGTTGCCCTCTCTTCGAGATGCGGCGGCCGCACGAAGCTTCTCACCAGGCGGGCCCTGAAGGGATCTAGTAATCTTTTATATGATAATTAGTAGGGATTATGTAGAGCTTATATTGGGAGAATGGAAAAGACAATGGAAACTACTGTATTATAGTATAACATAGAATTTTCTTGTTGATGGGAACCCACTACCTGCTGCAGCTGATTGTCGGAAACTTGCGCCGCAGAGACTTCCAGGGTACAACGGAAGGCACCATGACCAAGTTTGTCCGCAGAACTGCTGGAAAGAAACAGGCACTATGCTGATACCGCGCCGGGCGAAAGTCTTCGGTCGCGTATTCCGCTCCAAAGCGCTTTGGGCCTCTGTGCTGCATAGCAGCTTTCGTCACCAAGAGTAGCAAGCAATAGAAATTGCGGTGGCGGTAGTGATTGCGATAGTGGCAGTAGTAGCAGTCTCCGCAGTAGCAGTATAAGTAGAAGCAGGCGCAGAAAGTAAAAGTAGGAGGTGGAAGGTGGAAGGTGGACGGTAGCCGTAGAAGTTATCGTTATAACGTCGCAGCCAAGGCTGCTGCTGCCTCAGCAGTCGTGGTGGTGGTGGTGGTGGTGGTGGTGGTGGTGGTGGTGGTGGTGGCGGCGCCGGCGTCGGCGGTGGTGATGGTGGGGCGGCGGCGGAAGTAGTAAATAGTGGCGGAAGTGGCGGAGGCGACCGTGGCAATGGTGGCCATGGTGGCGGCTTCAGTGGTGGTGGTGATAGTGGTGGCTGCCGCCGGAGTAGTAGTGGTAATAGTAGCGGCCCCAGGACTAGGACTAGGAGGAATAGCAGTTGAGAAGAAGTGGTAGGAACAGTTCTGAAGATATGTGGAGCAGGAGGGGGAAGAGGAGGGTTGGTGGCAGCGGCTGCCTATTTCCAAGTCGCAGGTCTGTTTTTGGACATGTCTAGCCTTTGACTGCAAAGATATACTCAACTAGAATCTTGGACAATCCTGTCCAACGATTGCTGCCGTCAGGACTGACAAACCTTGACCGTTCTTGCTTAGATCATCACCGTTGAAATGTAAGGCAGAGACGTCATCCCTTAGAGGATGAAACCGGTTAGATTAGATGATAAGATGTAAAAGGATATGGTAACTGGTTTCGTGGGCTTGCATCGTGAGAGACATACTCTAATCAGGATTTTCCTTGCGCATAGATGCACGAAACATGGCAGGCATCGGCAACAATCCCTGCAGAGGGATACTTTTTTTTTGTTGGGTATGGGGTCCTCATTCTTTGTAGCTCCCCTAAACCCTAACGTAAAGCTTCAAAGCCAACACCCTGAAGCCCAAACCCTAAACTGCCAACCCTATGTAAGCCCTAAACTCTATGGCCTCTGCTTTGAGGAACGGCACAGGGGTTCGCTCGCTGATAGCGAAGTACGACTGGCCGAGGAGTGCTAAAAGGGTTTCGTTCAGGGTTTGTGTCAAGGGCTTGGGGGTTAGAGCTTAGTGCTGCTTGTTTTCTGCTCCAGTTTCCATTGATCAAAATGCAGCTCGCTCATGCCTGCTAAATACTTGAGCCAGCAATGCCGTAAACCTCGCATCCTGATCATACAGGGACTTGCTTAAGTCGTCCCTTTTTTCTTGGTTGCTTCAAATGACTGGCGGGAAGGATTTTAGTAAGGCGTCTCTTTCCTGCGTTTGAGAGGGGATTCAGGCACATGTGTTTAGCCGTTTTTTTGTTGATATTTCTAGCGTTTGCTATGTTTA